AATACTAACAAGGCCTAAGTAAGGAATCAGTCATTGAATGCACTGTCTACTAGGGCAGCTTCCTCCACTTCTCTTGAAATTTGACGAGTTTCTCGCCCATATTCCCGGCTCTTATTTCCACCAAAGGTATCCCTACTCTTTCCCATAATGTTTCGATGGCGCTCGGGACATTGGTGTGAATTGTTCCCTTCGTTGAAAGCGCGCCATGCTGTCGAAACCAATCCTTCACAGTGAAGGTGCGATGCTTTTGGTCGCTCTATAGCTAGAAGGCGAACTCAGTCACGTACAGTTTCATACGAGCGGATACGAAACTCCTTCTAGAATCTATCTGATACGTCGGCATTCACCACTTCTCTAATCCTGTGCAGTTGTAAAACTTCTTTTACGGACTACCACACGCGAGCCTCCGCCAAGTTTTACATACGGCAGTTAATTCCTTGGATCGAAACGTTTTTCCTCAGGACCGCACACATTCCTATTTCAGTCGCCGGCAAACATCTTGAATTTACTCTCGTTGGTCCGCAGGACGTTGTAGCCCTATGGGGATCCCCACTTTAGGTGTGCGTAAGCCACATTTCGCCCCCGACCAGTTCACCGCCGACTAACTTCGCAGTATTCGCAATCATGTGAAGGCAGCCTATACAGTTGGGTTCTAGAAGGAGCTCTTATCCACGTGTATGACAGCTGCCCGCGACTGAGCTCGCCTTCTAGCATTAGTGCGACCAAAAGCATCACACCTTCACTGTGAAGGAGTGGCTTCGCCAGCATGGCGCGCTTTCAACGAAGGGAACAATTCACACCAATGTCCCGAGCGCCATCGAAACATTATGGGAAAGAGTAGGGATACCTTTGGTGGAAATAAGAGCCGGGAATATGGGCGAGAAACTCGTCAAATTTCAAGAGAAGTGGAGGAAGCTGCCCTAGTAGACAGTGCATTCAATGACTGATTCCTTACTTAGGCCTTGTTAGTATTTCAGCGAACCCAGAAGATCATTAACAAAGTATTGGACCTGCCCAGTGTTATTCATCATGCGTAAGATTGTTTTGTTGAATTGTAAGCTTGCTAGAGTAATTTGAAACCTACTTGGAATTTGCTCATACGCGAGAATTTCTAGTGAAATGATTTTTTCCATTCTTAATTCTTTCTCAATCCGAAACAAATATGCCGTTTAAGTGAAGTAGGACTATCTCTAAAACATATTAAAATTTGAATTGATTTGATTCAGCGGAAAAAAAGTTACAGTCGAAAAACAATTTCGGCGAAGACTTTTGACCGCTACTGTATATAGTTCCTAGAAAGTTTAAGGAAAATGTGATAGCGATAGCTGGAACAGTTGAAAACTATAACTTTCTAGCGTGAGCAGTTGTGAGAGCCAAGGTGGTGGTGGAAAAGGGCTAGGAGGAATGTTTGGACTGGAATCGGAACAAGTAATGCGCAAGAATCGGATCAATAAAGGCGCGATCATCAAAAGTATCCAACTTTTCTCTGGTACATCTTTTCCGAATACTGTAATCTTTCCATTATTCACATGTATTCGCAGGTCGCATTCAAAGACGTTGCTGGTTGCGAAGAAGCGAAGATCGAAATTATGGAGTTTGTAAATTTTCTCAAAAATCCGCAGCAGTACAAAGATCTTGGTGCCAAAATTCCAAAAGTTTGTTACATTTCATTATAAATCCAGGTACTGACCTTTCAATCATACCGCAAAATTCCAAAAGTTTGTTACATTTCATTATATCAGGTACCGTCAACCTCTCAATTATACCGGTTGTTCAGGGTGCTATCCTAACTGGGCCGCCTGGTACAGGTAAAACTTTGCTTGCCAAGGCGACCGCAGGAGAGGCTAACGTGCCTTTTATTACCGTATCTGGTTCTGAATTCCTTGAGGTATGGATTCTTTTCAAAAATCTACTTGGCGAAAATTATGGGACTGATTTCTAGATGTTTGTCGGTGTTGGTCCAGCCAGAGTTCGTGACATGTTCGCCATGGCTAGGAAAAATAGTCCGTGTATTCTTTTCATTGATGAAATTGATGCCGTTGGACGAAAGAGAGGCGGAAAAGGAGGAATGGGAGGACATTCTGAGCAAGAAAATACCTTGAATCAACTTCTTGTCGAGATGGACGGTTAGCTCCTTAGGAAGTTAATCCTATTTGTATGTTTCTCAGATAGTATACTTAGGTTTCTCTACGGATGAGTCTTCTGTGATTGTCATAGCTGCTACGAATCGAGTTGATATTCTTGACTCAGCTTTGTTACGTCCCGGTCGTTTTGATAGGCAAATCTACGTTCCTGTACCGGACATAAAGGTTATCTAATTCCTTTTATTCTGATTCTTTCTTTGTACTTTTTTCCAAGATAGAAACCATTCTCATTGTTTTTTAAGGGGCGAGCTTCCATATTCCGAGTTCATCTTGGACCTCTGAAAACATCACTGGATAAAGTGCAGCTCTCACGGAGACTGGCTGCTCACACTCCGGGTTTTTCTGGTGAGTGTTTTTTATTTTGGCTTCTTGGAGTGTGTGCTGTTTGTTAAAATCAATTCACCTCTTTTTAGGTGCTGACATTTCTAATGTTTGTAACGAAGCTGCGTTGATTGCTGCCAGAGATGCTTCAGAAGAGATAAGCCAAAAGAATTTCGAACAAGCCATCGAGAGGGTTGTTGCTGGTATGGAAAAGAAGAGTCAGGTATCTATCTAAAGTACATAGAAGGTGAGGTTTTATGTAGATATACGATCTTATTTCCAGGTTTTGCAACCAGAAGAGAAACGAACAGTTGCATATCACGAGGCTGGCCATGCTGTTGCGGGATGGTTTTTGGAGCATGCCGATCCTTTACTCAAAGTAGAATTGTTTGTCTTTTCTTGTGCATATCGTTATGTAATTGCATCTATGTGTCACTGTTTAATTATGAGTTTAGGTTTCCATCATACCTCGAGGGAAGGGATTGGGATACGCGCAATATCTTCCTAAAGAGCAATATTTGTATTCAAAGGAACAACTTCTTGACAGGTCTGTATTTACTATATATCGCTCAATCCTTTGTTTAATGCTTCAAAATGTCATCTTTCAATGTCGCCGTTGTCCTTCCAGCTATTTGAGTTTGAAGCACATTGTTCGCCTGTTTCTCTTGTATCTTTCTGTAGTGCAGTATACATTTTTTAGGATGTGTATGACTATGGGAGGTCGTGTGTCTGAAGAAATCTTCTTTGGACGTATTACTACGGGAGCACAAGACGATTTACAAAAGGTGACCCAGATGGCTTACGCTCAGGTTAGGCGATTTATTCAATATTGCTTTTATATCCTTCTCTTTCATTTCGATCTTTTCTCTGTCTATTCAAGGTTTATTCAGTATAGTTCCGATCACGTGAAGTTTATGAGGCCTCTTGCCCTTTCACTGGTTATCTTTGTCTATGGCGGTCTCGCGTAGGTTGAGTAGGTTGGCGGCGGCACGCGTACTAAACATAGGATATTAGCTGTTGCAACATTTTTAGTGAAGTAATTAGCGTAATTTCGCTATTCGCACTGCTTCTTTTGAACACATTGCTTCCTATTTTTTGGATTCAACAAGTGCTCACCTGTGATCATATCCACTCGGCGGATATATGGGGTACGGTCTCGGAAGTGGTTGTCCTATTTGGTAAAAACTTGATTCGGGAATGATGATCACAGGATAGTCAACGATTTCTTGTGGTTTCTGGAAATACGTCGATATCTGTTAGAGTTTGATTTTTTATGAGATTCTAACTTACCTGTTGGAGGCGTGGCATATCACCTCCGAACGCACCTAACCACCTCATGTTTGGAAAGCCCTGAAATATTTTTTGTTTTTTTTATTGCTATTTTCATCTCTTTTCCTAACCGCGCATCGTGACATTGGAAAATCTACTCGCACCAATGTTTGTAAGCATTCTAACGGTTTGGCTGATACAGATAGAAAACTGTACGTTGAACTTGTGGCATACAATCTCCGATATGGTCAGCCAACTTGCTTGGCAATGCCCTAAAACATTGGATGATTAACTTATGCGGTTCAAAATTTCTGTTCCTTCAATTTCTTAACATCAAAAGGGCAGCAATAGAAAGTAGTACCAATTGCGATGCCTGAGAGTCCGCAAACGCTTTCAGCCAACCCATTAACTGGAACTGAAATTTCACTTGTCAAACGATTTCTGAGTTTGCTTGTGAGCGATGGCTATCTCAGCTTTTGTTGACAAAAATAGAAGGACACGAAAAAAATAAAGAGGTTAGAAAGTTCGAAAAAGCACCCGCATGAAGTCCGACGCTACACTACTGCCTGCCGGGCTTGCAGTGGTCGTAGTAGTCTGTAAATATCTTCTGCAGCACCAGATTCTTTGGAATCTTTGGGGGACAAGTGATACAATTTTGGAGTGTAAGAAATGTTACCTGTTGGGGTGCAGTTGTCGTTACAACTTGTGGCGGCTTACCACGTGGTCCCCATGCACCCACTTCGACATCTAATACAGGGCTCTGTAATGGGCCAATTAAGAAGTTATCAACAATTAGTAGGCAAAGTAGAGATGAAATATTTACGCTTTTAATTCAAAAGCTACTTCGTTATTCTGTTTGGCTTGCTGCTTGTATTTTTACCCTATATATGACAAGTTGAGATATACAAACCCCTTTTCATTTTTTTCTAATATTTCCAATTCATTCTTTTCTTTTACGCCTGCTCTTCCTCCCCTACTAATGTTGCTTCATTTCTCTTCCTTCTCGACTCGTCGATGATGAGACATACGTTTTAGTGAAACGCTTAACACGATGACGACAACCCCTTGGGCGTGTACCCTGGCACTTTTTGTTTATTTTTTTCACAATCGTCATAACTTCTTCAATAATTCCACTACTGGTAATTGATCACAGTTTTTTCGGATAAGATAACGCATGCACACAGTTTTGAAATATGAAAAAGGCCAAATAAATAAAAAACTAGCCAGAATCGGGTAAAATTCTGACGCGCATGCTTGTCATGCTGTCGTCAACGTGTTAAACTACCTTAGGAAAGTGCTTAAACGCTCCAAATCTAGCGGTAGTGTGTGCGCTGCAACGTAATGTCTTTTTTGTTTGTCAACTTTGCGTCGCAGTGTCATCTCTGGCTCCTTTTTGATCAAACACTTCAGCCTTTTTTCATTTGCACCTTGATCCCGACTTCATTATCTTGATAATGTATTCATTTTGGTCTATCTCTCATTCTTTCTCACTCACTCTGTCACCTCACGCAGGTCTACCTATCTTCCGTTACTT